TCAAACTAATCTTGATGAGACAAAGGAACTTTAAAGGCAAGTTGAGAAGTTGATGTTTAAAGGGTACATAAGGAAAAACATGAGTCCATATGTTGTTCTAGTGTTACTTGTGCCTATAAAGGATGGAACTTAGAGGATGTGTATTGATTTTCATGCTATCAATAACATTACAATGAAATATAGACATGTCATTCCTAAGCTAGATGATATATTAGATGAATTGTATGCTTTTTGTATTTTTACTAAGATTGATTTAAAAAGTGGATATCATCATATAAAGATGAAAGAAAGTGATGAATGAAAAACTATTTTTAAGACTAAATATGGATTGTATAAGGTTAGTCATGTTGTTTAATCTTACTACTACACCTAGTATTTTTATGAGATTGGTGAATCATGATTTGCATGCATTTATTGACATATTCATTATTATGTATTTTGATGATATCTTAGTTTATAGCAAAAGTTTGGATAAACATGTTAAGCATTTACATTGTATGCTTAATGTTTTTCTAGAAAGAAACACTATATGCTAATTTGGAAAAAAAAAAAGTGTACCTTTTGCATTGAAAAAGTTGTATTTCTTTATAATGTTATTAGTGCAGAAGGCATTGAAATAGATGAGAAAAATGTGAATGTTATCCAAGAATGGTCAACACCTAAGTCAATAACTAGGGTAATAAGTTTCCATGTTTTTGCTAGTTTTATAGGAAATTTGTTAAGGATTTTAAGACACTAGCCACACCACTTGATGAAATTATCAAAAAGTTAGTTACCTTTAAATAAGGTATTGAACAAGATAATGCATTCAATCTTCTTAAAAAAACGTTAAGTTTAGCACATTTATTAGCATAACCTAACTTTTATAAAGCTTTTGAGATTGAATTTAATGTCTCAGGAATAGAAATTTGAGTTGTTTTAACGCAAAAGAAGTGTTCAATTGTCTATTTTAGCAAAAAAATTAATAGAACTGCATTGAATTACCCAACTTACAAAAATAAGTTTTATGCATTAGTAAGGACTTTGGAGAGTTGACATCATTATTTATGGTTGAAAGACTTTTTTATATATTCAAATCACATGTCATTAAAGCATCTAAAAGTACAATGTAATGCATGCCAAATGGATTAAGTACAAATAAGGTAAGGATAACATGGTGGTTAATGCATTATTTAGGAGGTATGTTTTTTTTTTTCTACTTTAAATGTGGAATTATTGGAATTTGAGTATGTGAAAAATTTGTATACTGATGATAATGGTTTTGCTAATGTGTATGATGCTTGTGAAATGTCGATATATTAATAATTTTATAAATTTGATGGTTATTTATTTAAAGAGAATAAATTATATGTCTAATAATTTTATGCCTGAATTGATTGTTTATAAAGATCATAAAGGTGGTTTAATAAGATATTTTGGTGTTAAGAAGACTTTAGATGTTTTGTATAAATATTTTTATTGGCCTAGAAAGAAATATGATGTGCAAAGTGTGTGTGATTAATGCATTTCATGTAAACAAGCTAAATCTAAGGTCTTACCATATGGTTTATATACTCATTAACATGTACCTAAAAAACCTTAGGTAGATATTTTCATAGATTTTGTTTTAGATTTTCCTAGGTTAAAAAGGTTAAAGGATTCTATTTTTATAGTTGGAGATAAGTTTTATAAGATGGTACATTTCATATCAAGTTATAAAAATAATGATGCAACCAACATTATTGATTTGTTCTTTAGAGAAATAGTATGACTTTACGGTATTTATATACGCACTATTTTTTATCGTGATATTAAATTTTTTAGCTACTTTTAAAAGGTTTTGTAAAAAAAGTTAGGAACTAAGTTATTATTTTTTACTACAAGTCATCCATAAACGGAGTCAAATAAAAGTGGTAAATAGAACTTTAACTACTTTATTTTTTTTATTTTCATTCAAAAGAATCTTAAAAAAATTGAAGGATTGTTTGTCATTTAATGAATTTGTATATAATAGAAGCCTATATTTTACTATTGATCATTTACCATTTAAGGTTGTTTATGGTTTTAATCTACTAACCTCTTTGAATTTTATGTATTTACTTATTGATGAAAGTAATCTTAATTGTAATAGGAAATAAGAGATGATGACAACACTCCATAAGAGTGTTTGATAACATATAGAGAAAAAAAAATGAATAATAAGCATCTAAAGCTAACAAAGATCATAGATGTATTATTTCTTAACTAATTTATTGGGTTTGGGTGTATATAATAAAGAAAAAATTTCTAGCCCATATAAGATCTAAGTTACGGTCTAGAAGAGATGGTTTATTTCAAGTTCTTGAGCAAATCAATGATAATATATATAAAGTGGATCTTTTTAAGTAAGTATGATGTTAATGTTACTTTTAATGTTTATGATCTTTCTTTGTTTGATATAGGTAAATATTTGAGATCAGATCCTTTAAGGGGGGATAATGAGAATAATCAAACATCATCAAATGATCAATTAGAGGTGCTAATTTAGCTAGTTATAAGAAAGATTAAAAAGGCACTCAATAAGCTTATTCAGTGATTGTTTGGTAGTGTGGCTACCGGTGAAGTTCACCCGCAGCCACAGATATTGTTATCTGGTTAAGCAAAAAATGCAAGTTTATGTTGGTAGGACCCATTAGAAAATATGACTGTGCCGCAGGTTTTCTAGAAGCACAATTTTGCTGCTTCTTACACAGAGGAATTAGTGAACAATGAAGCATGACTACACTATTCACGTGAACAATGAAGAAATTCTTTATTGTTCTGACCGAACCAGATTCAGTCCAAAGCTAAAAATTCATTGAACCGGGTCCAATCCAGTAAAATAAAAAAAATATTTTTTTATTTTTAATTGTATTTTATTCGCAAAACTAGTGTTAAACATTATTCAATGACACTAAATAAATTAGACGGAAATCACTTGATGACATAGCATTTACAAAATTTGATCACAATCCCAATTTTGTTCTTGATTATATTTTACCTAATGTTGTTGCGCTTTTAAGAAGCCAAGAAAATTATAGTCCTTGTCGAATGTATTTAATACGTGATGGAATTATAGATAATTTAATGGAATAATAAAAAATATTTTATATAAAGTATTATTTATTTCATGATGTAATAGCAATAGTTAAATCTACAATATTTAAATTAAAAATCATCAATATTAATATATTTTTTAAAATTATTTTATAATCTCAATTTCAAAAGCATTCTTAACCAAACATTTTAAACTATTTTTTGTTCAATTTCAATTTCAACCATAGTTTTTACTAAATATATATTTTTCCTAATCAACTTCAACTAAAAGTACTTTTTGTAAAAATAACTTTTTTCAAATTACAATCACAACAGTTACCGCAATACCAAATACACTCTCAGAATATTTAGACCAAGTCAAGCTTTCAGAATTCAAAAAAAAATACTATTTTATTATTTTATCAATCTTACTTAGTATGTTTTTATCTTTTATAAATAGTATTATTTAGTTTGTATTGGGTGTAAAAAGTTGCTTATGCTTTAAGGTCTTCATTAAACTTATTTTGGACTTATCAAAGATCTTGTCTTTATGTCATTCTTCATATTCTTCCTTCATAAATCATTATATTTATAAGATTTGATTATTTTTTTTATCAAATAACTTATATGCCATTAATTATTGTGTTGAGTTCTTTGTTATAATATAATTTAAGCTTTTTCAAGTTATTTTTTCTTGCGTACAGATTTTTAGAATTTTTACTCGTTCGCGTCAAGTTATACCCCTTTTGTTTTTAAGAAAGTGAAAACCATGTGTAATTGTCCTCTCTCTCCATTTTCTGGAGATGTTGGGAGATTTCCTTCCGAAGATATGTTCCAACGCAGAGGATGGAAATTTTGGCCTAGCCATAGAACCGTACTGCACCTTCTCCAATAAATCATAATATACCAGCGGCACCCTCCGAGCAAAAGTTCAATATTTTTATTATTATCTTTCTGGGATGAGATTTTTATTTCAAAATAGTTTTTTATACATTCTGTAGTGTTCAGACGATTTTTTCTTTTATTGGATGTACTGAATATCACAATATCAATAGAATGTTGGTAAAACAACCACCAGAATGCTGCTAAATTGACCAATAAGCGGTTCAAAAGAGGGAGAGTTTTCGGCAAGATGTCATGCCAGAAAATGCCCTCTACCAGCTAATCATATCCGTTTTCCGGGCTTCCTTTCCTCAACATTTAAGATAGTGCTTTACATGAAATGATTGGTTCAAGCACCTCGTTTGCAGCACTTGAAAAAGAGAGAACAGAAACAGATCCTCATCTATGGAATTAAGATAATTATCTATTAAGCTCGAACTTTAGCATTTCTATCGCCTCTCCAGTTTGGACATTGCACTTAGACTCAGCAATTACATGATACTGGGTCGAGATATAAAACAGAAATGAGAAGAGAATTACAGATAATGTATATTGATCAAACATGATGAGAGTTAAACCTGAACAACGGGTCCTGTGTAAGCTCCTTGACGCATATAAAGATCATCAGGAGTATCTATCTCTGCAAGCCATGCAAGGTCATCCATGTTTTCATCATCTATCTCAGCTCCATTTCCTCTAGCTGCAATGTGTTAAAAAGTTATTCAGCTTTGTTGCATGGTTAAACATGTATTCAATATGAATGTTACATGCTTCAACTTATATATGCAACAAGATTAGTAGAAGAGCAGCGAGGGACAAAAAAGAAAAAGCATGGATGATAGTAATGATAATAATGAAAACAAATAAAGGTTACTTACAGAAGGTGGAAAAAGGATAGTCATGGTAATAAGTACATTTTCTGCCTGCATCTTCTCTGTATGGAGGTGCAAGAATGTCAAACACAGCACAAGGGGTGACTGCAGTGAAACAATGCAGATTCCCACCACGTTTTGGGTACAATACTGACGTCTCACATGGAGCTGTTAAAGTTTTATCTACTGTCAACTTTGCCAACCTTACTGCCAAAGATACGCATCCATTAGTCTGCACCTATATATATTCAATTCGAACACTGAAACCCATAAAATAGAGACACTATAGCCACTGACACCTATTTTACTCTTTTTATACCAAACTAAAGCAAAACAAACCAGACAACAGCATAAGGCATGGCTACCATCAAATTTTAGTGAATGCTACAACTGCAGGGACAGTAGTCCACAAAGTTCAGTCAGTCCCATAATCAAAGCCATGATCATGCAATTTTAAAAGGCCTAAATATATTTGGTGGGTAGTTCATAATTGGTTTGAATTTGAAAGTATAATCCAGCAGACCAGCTTCAATTCCAAACACAGCTAAATGATGGCATATAATTTAGCTGATAAAGGGGCTGCTTCAAAGGGAAAACTAGAATATTCTAGCAAACAGGCCAACCGTCTTAGCAGTGACACCATCAGTAGGTTTCTCCAACAAACTTATACCAAGAAATTCTTAGTACACACATATGCTCATAGATACATACACACATTGATTCACATATGCATGCATTCATACATATTTACATATCTACACACATACAAATACACATAATAAGGCATGTTGTGTCTGAAAAATAGATAGTTTTGCATAAAAAAACTGTCTCTATTATGAGCATGGAAAAAGTGAGAATAATCTATATAGTTGGGCCAACAATTTCATTACTAGTCTGCTCAGCATTTGGTTAAACGCTAACTCCAACCACCATGAACATATCTGAGCATGTATTGGTGATGCATGATGGATAATGTTCTATCTAAATCAGGAGAAAATGAGGTCATATTATAGGGTTAAAAGATCAAAAGGTTTCAATCAACGGTTATAAAAGGAAATAGAGGAACTTCTACGTATGTTCCATAAATTGAGGGGACAACTAACAGAAAACGCATTTGAATCCACGGATTTTCATTTCTATTTGATCATGCTTTCATGATGTAAAGTTATTGATTAAAACTGGACCTAAACTAAGAGTTATAAGAAAAAAGTACTCCAATAACTGTTGATGATTTGGAATTGAAGCCCATTTAACCGCACAAACTATTCCAATTCTTGATGGTTAGTGAAGGAAGGCTATGGAATAATCAAGAAAAAAAAAATTAAATGTTAGTTTGTGAGTTCTAAAACTGTCAGGGCAGATGATAAAAAGGTTCTCAAAAGGCAAACCTGCAGGATAACCGGGCCCCTTGCTTTTTGGGTAACACGCAGGCTCAACCCAATCATAAGCTTTGACATGCAATGAACCATATAGAACTTTGCTGAAAACAGTCATGCTAGGATGGTCATGGAGGGGAATAACAGAAGAAGTAGGAAAGCAGAATATACACATCTGCGTACAAAGAATCATCATGTCAAAAACTTTAAACATTGATCTGTACTTCCTTCCTGCTTTCAGATTTAAAATCCAGAATATATAATTAAAATAAAAATGCGGGCTAAAACAATATTAAGGAGAACATCTGCATTAATATTTTGATAATCGGCAAGCACAAACACATGCCAGGAAGCAATTATAAGAACTGAAATGTTCCTAAATTAATTTAACTATACTTACCAAATTTTGCCAAGGAATTGATATATATATATATATAACCTAAATGAAATACAACGAAGCACACAGCTATCCCAACAAGAACAAATTATAATCGAGAGAGAAGAGGTAAAGCTCACAGTAAAACTATCACATCCATAAACATCTACATATGTTATTGGTTGAGCCCATCGAGCAACGCTACTCAACCGATTAAGTCCAAGCATGCCATGCCCTCGATCATCTCGATTTTCCTCTTTAAGCCCTACATCAGCAGGGCCAAATGTGTCTGCACAACAGGCGAGGAGATTTTGTAATAATCTAAATAATGAATCACAATTCGTTCCTCTGATTTTAATGGAAATTTGGGAATCAATATATTGACGTGACAAACAGCAAAAATAATGTATTGGCTCCTCCAATTCTATTGCTACTGTTTGCCATTTCATATTTTCATCCTTATATCATGACGCCATAAATTTGTTAGATTTTTCTAATTCCAAATAAAGATTTAAGGGATAACTAATAAAGAAGAAAACATATTGTACAAGGCTTCACCTTTTCACGTTCAGCTTCAAAACAAATTCACAAAACCCACTTCAGAACTCAACTAAACAGGAGGAAAAAATACATAAAAGATAAAAAGGAAGAAAAAGAGAAATACCCAAAAGAGAGCAGAGTTTCTGGATGGCACTAGAAGAAGGAGGTGCCCCCGAGGGTGTAAATGTCTTTCTGCAGAGCTCATATGAAGCTTGAACTTTAGAAGATGAATTCTGCTGCTCTACCATGTTTATGAGGTTTCTGAAACAGGGAATGAAAGGTAGTAGGCAATTTTTGTGTTCTATTGCAAGCTTTCTTGCCTTATCAGTTGCGTTTCGGAATTCTGAGAACATTTTTGGTCGCCAATTTCTTTTTTTAACTGGAGACTGGAGAGTGACAGCTTCTTCTTTTCTTTTTTCTAATCAAACAGAATATAAATTTATAAACTTGTCTTTAATAAGTTTTAAATAAGAGAGGGGCAATGCAAAAACTACAAACTAGAAAAATTTTAAAGGAAGCAATAAAAGGAAAGCATGGTTAATAAAAACTATAAAGAGATAAATAACAATAAACAAAAATAACAAAAAATTGTGAATAAATAATGTTATTGGCCTAAAAATCATTTTCAATTATTAAGTGTCATATTTATAATGTTATTATAGAATCATAATCCTTCATAAATTATAGGACTATATAATCTTAATTCTAATACAATTTATACTTTTTTATTTGCGCATATCCTTTTTGTAATTGTATATATTCATTTGTATAGGGTTTGATTGATCGATTTTTAATGTGAGTCGTAATCTATAATCTTTTAATCAATAGTTGATTTTAACTTTCTTCACTAGTTTGTTTGAAAAATTATTATTTTTAAATAATTGACATGTGAATGGTTTAGGTTTTTTATATAAACAATACCTCTTATTTTCTTTATTTTAAAATAAATAAAGGAATATTTACTTGTCATTTATGCTAAAATCAATCAAGAAATTGACCATGAATGACATGACAAATCAAGTATTGTTCCCCTAAAATGTTGACCATGTCTCAGTGTCTAACATGTTAGTTAATTAAGTAATTTCAAGTTAAAATGTTTGATGATTGGTTGGTATTTAAAAATATATTTTTATTAAAGTTTTATATCATCATTTTACACTTGAAGTATCAATTTAATATAAGATGTAAATAAATACAATGCTAAAATTCAGACTTTAGAATGGTTAGGATTTTACCCAATAAGGTAGAGACTCTCTCACGAAAATAAATTTGCCTTAAGCCTTAAAAAAGACTAACAGATACCCCACTCAGAAAAAACAATCAAACAACAATGCAGCTTACCTTAGGTAAGGTGCACTGGGGGTGATGCATCTCCCCCTTGCACAACCAGTCCTTTACTCAAACTCTTGCGGACCATAGGTCTCTAATGACTATAATACTAAGTGGCGACTCCTAAACATTAATCATATTTTTATGATTAAATCCAAAACCCTTTCCAACACATAACACCTCACACTAGAGGCACGACAAAAGCCTCTGTCATCGCCAGACAATGTTGCGCCGGCTTGCACCCCGCGACAACCATAAATTGAGGAATTGTCACCACAATCAATTAAGTCCATACCTTCAAGTGTTCAACCACCTAGTCTTGATTTGAAGTCGTTATCATTCAATCTCAAATACTTATTTTTGGGAGAAAATGAAACTTTTACAGTAATAATCTCTTCTAAACTTAATGCACATCAAGAAGGTAAGTTATTATAAACTCTGAAAATACACAAAAATACATTAGGATAGACCATAACTGATATAAAAGGAATTAGTCCTTTGATTTGTATACACAAAATTTATTTGGAGGAAAATGCTAAACTCTCTAGGGAAATGCAATGAAGGCTCAATCCTAATATGAAAGAAGTAGTGAAAAATGAAGTCATTAAGCTTCTAGATAATG